TCCATGGATGGGATGCTCAAATTGTTAGTTGGGGGCAGTTTTATAGTTCTCTAGACCTTTCTTTGTTTTCAATTTTATCTTCAAACCAATATTGGCTCCCTCTTTTATGTTCTCTCTCTCTCTCTCTCTCTCTCTCTCTCTCTCTCTCTCTCTCTCTCTCGCCTGTCTTCTATTCCTAACTGGGCTCAATCTTCCTATTCGCATATGTTTTCCTTTCCTCCCCCTATTTTTCTCCTACTTCTCTCTCCATTCGCTGCCCCCCCCCCCACTTCCCCTGTGCTCTGGGGGACTTGTCCCTTCCGGCTTCTGTGAGGGACTTTATATGAATCTCTTAGAATACACCAGATCATGAACTAACTTATCCATGGAGCCTTCATCTAATGCCTGTTGGAAACAGGAGCAAACACCCATACATAAACACTGAGTCGAACTAGAACCCAGATGCAGATGGAGAGGACAAGACCAGGCTGCAGCAACACATAGAGACAGCTTACCTGAACAAGGAGAAGCTAACGAGCCCCCAGACTGATAGCTGGGAAGGCAGCATGGGACTGACTCAGGCCCCCCTGAATATGGGTCTCAGCCAGAAGGACTGAGCAGTCTAAGGGACCTCAGACAATGGAGCCAGGATGTATCCCTGGTGCACAAAAGGACCTTGTGAACACATCCCCCATGGAGGGATAACTGTCTTAACCTAGAGACAGGAGAGAAGCCCTAGTCTCTACTTCACATGACCTGTCAGATCTACATGACCCCCAACTGGATGGCATTCCCCTACAAGTGGAATTGGGGTGGGGGGATGGGAGGGGAGGGTGGTTAGGGTGCATGTGAGAGAGCAGAGAGGGTAAAAGTGAGGGAGGGAGGGAAGGAGGGAGGGAGGAACAGAGGGAGGGAGGGACAGAGGGAGGGGGAACTGGGATCGACATGTAAAATAATAAATTAAAAATAAAAAAATAAATTAAAATAACCCTTTGACTCCAAAATTTAAGTTCAAGGACAAGTTACTGGGGGAAAGGATTTCTATTTTTCTTTCCACAGAAAATGAAAAGCTGTGGATTCCTTGCAGACTAATGTGGTTTGATCAAGCCAGACCACCTGAAACAGAGTACCAGGTGATCCTACATTCAAAACAGCTGGACAAAGCAGCCTTGCAGACTACAGCCAGGATTTCTGCATCTTCTTAGAATACCTGATGACAGGGCCCTTACCAGCAGGAAGTAGTTTTGAAAGAACGATGCCCAAATTCCCAAATATTGTCTATAAATGTTTGTTTTCATTTAAATGGACTTGGTTATCAAAAAATAAAAAAAATTAAAAAAAAAACACAAAAGATAAGGAGACCAAGGTGATACAAATTAGAAATGTACTTTCACTATTTGCAGATGATATGGTAGTAAAGTAGTAAGATGATAAGGTAGTACAATTCTACCTGAGAACGCCTTCAGCTGATAAATACCTTCAGTATTGTGGTATGATACAAGATCGGCTTAAGAAAAAAAATAAGTAACCCTCCTATATGCAAATATGAAAAAAATCAGAGTAACATCAACCTTTACAATAGCTACAAATAACAAAATATCTTGAGGTAATGCTAACCAAAAAAGTGAAAGACCTGTATCACAAGAACTTTAAGTCTTTGAAGAAAGAAATTGAAGAAGACATCAGGAAATGGAAATATCTTCCATGCTCTTGGATAGCTAAGATCAACACAGTAAAAATGGCAATCTTATGGAAAGCAATCTACAGATTTGAGGCAACCCCCATCAAAATCCCAACACAATTCTTCACAGACCTCCACAGAACAATATTCAAGTTCATATGGAAAACAAAAACCTAGGATAGCCAAAACAATCCTATACAAGAAAGGAACTTTAGAGGTCTCACCATCCCTTACTTCAAGTACTATTATATAGCTATAGTAATTAAAGCATCTTGGTATTGGCACAAAAACAGACAGGTAGAACAGTGGAATAGAATAAAAAACCCTGATATTAATCCACACACCTATGAACACCTGATTTTTGTCAAAGAAGCAAAAATTAAACAATGGGGAATAAAGCATCTTCAACAAATGGTGCTGGCATAACTATATCTCAACATGTAGAAGAATGCAAATAGATCTATATCTAACCCTATGCACAAAACTCAAATCCAAATGGATCAAACATAAATCTAGCCATACTGAACTTCACAGAAGAGAAAGGGGGAAGTGGCCTTGAACACATGGACAAAGGAAACCACTTCCTAAATATAATACCAGTAGCACAGACACTGAAAGCAACAATTAATAAATGGGAACTCCTGAAACGGAGAAGCTTATGTAAGGCAAAGGACACAGTCAATAAGACAAAAAGGCAGCCTGCAGAACACGGAAAAAAAAAAAAAAATCTTTACCAACCTCAGATAGGACAGAGGACTGATCTCCAAGGTATATAAGGAACTCAAGAAACTAGACATCAAAATATCAAATAATTCAATTTAAAAATGGGGTACTGATCTGAACAAAGCATTTTCAACAGAAGAATTTTTAATGGTCTAAAACACTTAAGGAATTGTTCAACATCCTTAGCCACCAGGGAAATGCAAATCAAAACAACTCTGAGATACCATCTTACACCAGTCAGAATGGTTAAAATAAAAAAGACTGATGATAGCTTAATGCTGAAGATTTGGAGTAAGGGGGACATTCCCCTATTGCTGGTATAATGTAAACATGTACAGCCACTTTGGAAATCATCAGTATGGCTTTTTTCAGAAAATTTGTAATCAATCTACTTCAAGTCCCAGCCATAACACTGGTGGGCATATACCCAAAGGACTCACACTCACACCACAAGGACATTTGCTAAACTGGGTTCATAGCAGCATTATTCATAATAGCCAGAACCTGGAAAACTTAGATGCCCATCAAATGAAAAATGGATGAAGAAAATGTGGTAAATTTACCCAATGGAGTAGTACCCGGTGGTTTAAAAAAAAAAAAAAAAAAAAGCTTGCCTAGAATCCATGGCCCCGGAGAAGCTAGGTAACAAGGAGAACCCTAAGAGAGACACACATGGATCCCCCTGGGAAGAGGAAATGAACAAGATCTCCTGAGAAAATCTCGAGCATGGAGGGGAAAAAGGATGGCAGAAGTGGAGGAGGGAAGAAGGGGAAAGGGAAGGGAGGAGGGGAGGGGGAAGGGGGGAGGGGGGAGGGGAACATGACAGAAAGGGTTGCTTGAGGTGGGTAAAGGAAAGAGAGGGAAAGCAAGGAAAGAGATATCCTGATTGAGGGAGCCATTATGGGGCTCTCAAGAAATTTGGCTTTAGGGAAATTCCCAGTAATCCACAAAGATGATCCCAGCTGAAACCCTAAGCATCAGTGGAGAGGGTGCCTGAACTGGCCTTCTCCTGTAATTAGATTGATGACTAACTATATTATCATCATAAAAATCTTCATCATTCCAGCAACCGATGGAAGTAAAGGCAGAGATCTGCAGCTAAGCGCTGGGCAGAGCTAGCTCCTAGAGTCCAGCTGAAAGGGGGCGGGGCAGCTATAACATGAGCAAAGTGGTCAAGGCTATTTTGGGGAAACACACAGAAACAGCTGACCTGAGCTATGGAGCTCACTGACTCTGAACTGACTGTGGTAGAACCTGCATAGGACCTAACTAGGCTCTCTGAATGTGTGTAGAAATTGTGTGGCTTGGGCAGTCTGTGGGGCCACTGGCAGTGGGACCAGGATAAATCCTGGGCTTTTTGGAGCCCATTCTCATTGGAGGGCTACCTTGTTCATCCTAAATATAGGGGGCAGGCCTTGGTCCTGCCTCAAAGAAATGTGCCTATCTTTATTGACTCCCCAAGGGAAGCCTTATCCTCTCTGTAGAGTGGATGTGTCAGTTGGTGGAGGGTGGAGGGTGGGGGGAGGAGGAAGGGAATGAATGGGATTGGATTGGTAAGTAAAATGAGAAAATATTATCTTAAAGTAAAACAAATGATAAAACAAGAAGGAACAAGCCTAATTTAGCAAAGAGACACATCAAGTCTGCCTGGTGTCCTCAAGTTAGATCAGAAGAGACATAAGCCTAGCCAACAACAGCCAGGAGACTCAGAACAGCTCTCACAAAAAAGGAAGAGGGCTTCTCTAAAGATAGCTACCTAACAATTGTAGGCAAGATAGAGGAGCTAAGGTTCCAAAGACCACTTTCCCATCAGCTCAAGCTGGGCAAAGCCTGACACAGGAGCTCAGACCACTACCATCAGCTCTTGCTGGCCTAGCTACTTCCTCTTTCTCCAGCTCTTTTCATTCTGAAAACAGAAGGGCTTGAGCAATGAGGTCAGTTGAGAGTCCCCAAACCATCCTCTCACCCCATTCAACTAAATCCTAGAGAAGGAAAAACAAAACTGATGCACTCAACCTGCAAATATGCACAAGTGAAATCTAGCAAATTGGCAGACAGGAAACTAAACAAAACCGAGAAGATTAAAAGGTAGACTTCGGAAATGGAACAGACGTTCTCAAACAAGTCAAGTGGCTGGCGTTAGCAAGTAAAGTTTTTCCACAGTAGACAAAAGTGCAAGCAACTGGCCCAAATATTAAGAGAAAAATTACACTGGTTAGATGTACATGTAAGCCTGTTGGTCAACCCTGTCTGGCCCTGGGCTAGGTTCTATTTTAGTTACATGGTATTTACAAAACTCAGCAATCTGGCCAGAGTCCTCAGCTTCAGGGTCTGTCCAGAGCCGGTTAAGGGCAAAGGTCCTCCTCCCTCCTAGGGGTGTCCAATAGCACCCTGCCCTATCTCTAACTTCCTCTGTCACCTTTCCTTCTACCCCACCCAGCTCGACCGGCCTCACCTAGTCACACCCTGCCCCGCCCCTTACCCCAGCCTCTCCTCCCCCATCCTTGCAGCCGCGCCGCTCATTGCCCCCCCCCCCACCCAAGCGTTCTCAGCCTGTAACCCTGTAGCCCCGCCTTCCCGGGTTTAGGGTTTCCGGGCTTGTGGGTATTTTAAAGCAGGAGCCTCTAGGGTCGCCTGACTCACATCGTGCAGTGTTCCAGTTCTTGCTTTCACTCCCGTCAGCTCCCGGGCGCCATCAGCCATGGGTCTCTGGCCCCACTTGGCGCGCGCCGCCCTGTTGCTGGTGTTCTTGGGAGCCTGCACAGTGCGCTCCGACACACCTGCCAACTGCACCTACCCTGACCTGCTGGGCACCTGGGTCTTCCAGGTGGGCCCCAGACGTCCCCGAAGCGACCTTAACTGTTCTGTGCTGGGTAAGCCGAGTCCCGGGATCCCTGAGTTCTCCATTTCTGTCCCCGGAGTCCTTGCCTCGTGGGCGCGTGTGGGTGACTGGGGAGTTAAGAGCATGTGACTGGTCCCTTGGGGGATCAGAGCCAGAGCCAGAGCCAGAATCAGAGCGGCCACGGTGATTTTGAGCTGTTGAGAACTTCACACTTACTTTCTTGATTTTCTCACAACTTGTGCTTTCAAGAGAACGCCCCCACTCTTTTTTAATTGTTCCAGTTGCTTTGATTTCTTAGAACAGAGTGCAGAACTGCTTTGAGCTTCTACTCTAGTCTGGCATGCTCTTGTTTTTAAAAATCCCTTTTGAGCTCAGACTCTGTTGAAGTTGCTGTTAGGGTTTTTTTTTTGGGGGGGGGGGTTGTTGTTGTTTGTTTTGTTTTGTTTTTTAGGGAGGCTAGATGGGGTTGTGTCCCACATCGTGCCCAAACACCACCTCCTCAACTCTCCCCCCACCCCCCTCAACCCCTGGTGGTGAGTTCAAACTGGGCTTCTGTGTGTACTGCTACTTTCAGGCTCTTCCCTTTAAAGATCGCTAGAGCTAGACAAAAGCTTTTTTTTTTTTTTTTTTTTTTTTTTTTTTTTTTTCTGTTTCCTTTGTAACGATTTACCCAGTAGTGTTTGCAAATGTCTGGAACCAAGCACAATGCCTCATTTGGGAAAGGTTCTCTGTGAGTCTGTAGTGAGTGAACACAGTGTGGGCCTTACACTAATTGCTTATCCTAAGGAAAATATTAGTACAGATCAGGAGAGTGACACTTCTGGTCTTAATCTGTCAGTCTTATTGTACAGAGTATTCAAGTCTGGGTTGTAGTCTTCTTGATAGTAGAATAAAGGTTGTCACATACACCAGCACCAACCCTCCCACACATGCCACATACACACACACACACACACACACACACACACACACACACGAAGAAGAAGAAAACAAGAAATAAAAAGAGACTCATTTAATTAATTCCAGGCGACTGGGTTTTGCTTAATCTGGGCATACTACGTCTACCATTGTTTCTTTTCTAATTTGAGCATGGCCATGAGACAGAAGGGAGAAAAGGTTTTCACTGCCTTTTCACAGCACAGTCTGCCATCTATGGTGTTCATCTGAAAGAAGGAGAGACAAAAGTGTGGGGCTCTGCGGATGGATATAGCTGATCACTTTTCTGGGAGCCCCTGCCTATAAACCTTCTTTTGACTCTAACCCAACAACTGAAGGAGGACAAAGATCTGACCCCTGATCATATGAAAATTAAACATTAGTACCTATCAACTCAAATTGGTTTTACATGTTAGAATCCTCAAGTTTGAGGAGTCCTTTGGAAGGATTCAGACCGCAGTGTTAATTTCTGCAGATGCTGAGGAGAGAGGTACCTCATCTTGTTGAACAGATTACTTTTTGTCTTAATATGCTCAACACATCTTTATGATTTGAAGGCTGGTCCTTTTATATAGTCTTATACTCTGATAAGTACTTTTTGTCTTTCCCCCATCCCTTTCTGTAATTTGGAACAGTCCCCTCCCAGTTCTTTTCTAGGTCAACACCGTACCACTGAGCTACACTACCTAAGCATATTTTTTTTTGTTTTTGTTTTTTGAAACAAGGTTTGTCTATGCAGTACTGGCTGTAGACCAGGCCTGCCACTGCCTCCCAGCTGAGCATTGGGATTAAAGATGGAAAGTGCCATCACTGAAGGGCAATTATGTATGTATGTATGTATGTATGTATGTATGTATGTATGTGTTTGCATTGGTGTTTTGCCTTCATGTATGTCTGTATGATGGTGTCAGGTACCCTGAAATTGGAATTACAATTGTGAACTGCCATGTGGGTTCTGGGAATTGAACCTGAGTCCTTCCTGGAAGAGCAGCCACTGCTCTTACCCACTGAGCTATCTCTCCAGCCCCCTCTGCATTGTTTACTAGAAAAGTATTCTTTTCTCTTTGTGTTTATTAACCTTTCTTTATTTTTTCTTTTCTTTTCCTGTTTTGGAGACAGTGCCTTTCTGTGAAGCCCTGGTTTGCATGTAACTTGCTATGTAGACCAGGCTAGCTTTGAGCTCCCAGAGATCCACCTACCTCTAAGTCTGGACTGCTGAGATTAACATACCCAGCTAGAAAAATATTTTAAATGTTTGGGTACATGGTGGTCTCTGGTCCTATTGTGCTACCTGACCCTTCACTTCAGAAACCTCACTTCATAGGTTTGCCCAGAACCCTTCATCACAATACACAGTAAACAAAATTGAAAAATTTTAGGTCTTTCTAGGCAGAGTCTCATCATGTAACTCTGTATAGCCTAGAACTCACTATATAGCTAAGGGTAGTCTCCTAGGAATCAGCTTGCCTCTGCATCCCCAGTGCTGGATTTATAATTAAAGTCTTGTGCTGTGTGATCCAACAGAGACCAATTTATTCATGAATCATTTTATGAATCCCAGTTAGGCTGTAAGGTAGGAAAGTACCTAAATGTAGAAATTATTGGGGTGACTTCTTTCCCCTGCATATTCACTTAACTTTCATGTGTTATGCATTTTATTTTCTTTAGAACCAACAGAGGAAAATGTAGTGGTTACGATACACCTTAAGAAGTTGGATACAGCATATGATGAATTTGGCAATTCTGGACATTTCACCCTCATTTACAACCAAGGCTTCGAGATTGTGTTGAATGACTACAAGTGGTTTGCCTTTTTCAAGGTTAGTTTATGTTTCCAGTCATTTCTTAACTAAACTTTCTCCTGGAGTGTTACTTTTTCAACCAAGAACATAACCAGAATATATGCTATTTTTCTAAGACAAGTTGGATATTGTAGAATTGACATTGAAAAATTAAAATTTGAGTTAGTTTGTACATTTGAAAATGTAGTTGTTTGTGTTTATATATATATATATATATATATATATATATATATATATATATGTAAGTATGGTAAGCATAGGTAAGTATGAAAGAGTCTTATTTCTTGCATTACTATACTTTCCTTTTAAATGTTCCCTTAGTCTCTGACTTTGTGATGACTCTCTAGGAAGGAGTTGATAAGTTTCATTTTCTGGAGTTCACACTATCCTTCTAATCATGACCTGCTGAGAGAATGGCCTCAAGGACTTATTGGAGTATTAAAATGTGTTACATATGGCAATGTAAATAATTTATTTGGCTAGAGAGAGAAATAGGATGCATAAAAGTCCTTATGCTCCCTGGGCTAAGTAAAAAACAAAACAAAACAAAAGGAAAACAAAAAACAGGTTACCCTACACAGCTAGAATTTTACTTCTCTGAATAGTAAGAACTATTTCCTGCTCCCATGTTCAAATACCCAAGCACTCTCAGAGTGGGTCTCTCTAGGCTCTATGGCTGCCATGTGTTCTTAAGGAAGAGTTGAAACTTTTCCTAAACAATTCAACTCAATTGAAACTGAAGCAGCTGTTTCTCATTATGCATGGAATATATAGGTAGAGTTTTTCATGGATAGTCTTCGAAGCTGATGGAGCATCTGGTAAGAATAGACCATTTAAAGAGACTTCTGGTAAACTGGGGAATGCATTTGTTAAAAGTAAAACCAGACAACATAGAAATAGAGGCCTGACCTCTAAGTTTGACTTCTCATGTGACATGATTTATCATCAGTATAAAGTATTCTGAGCCAAACGTATTTCTTAGAATAATAACTCCCAGAAATATTTTAGTTACATACTCCTCTTTAACATTAAATAAATAAATAAATACATAGAAGAGATCCAGAAGAATGTTTAAAATCTATCTGGTAGCTAGCTAGGTAGTAAAATTAGTCATTGTTTGTTAGGAGCCCATTTGATTAGTTCAAATTATATTTAATAACATCTCCAAGCGCTGTACTAAAAAAATCCATCCCAACAGTAACTGAATTTCATGTTTTAGTTACCTGGTGGGTGTATTCAATCTGAATGGGCCTAGGGTTTTTGTTTGTTGTTTGTTACTTTGAAATATATCATTTCCCCCTTCTCTTTCCTCCCTCCAAATCTTCCTATATACCCTTCCTTTCTCTTTCAAATTGATAACCTCTATTTTTTATTATTTCTGATTATATACATATATACATGAATGTGTGTATATACACCACACACACACACACACACACACACACACACTTCTAAATCCATAAGTATAACTTTCTCAGTCTGTATGACATTATTTGGTGTATTCTTCCCTGAGGAAGACTTTCTTCCTTTCTCAGAATTGTTTAGTTGCCTGTCATTCTTTGTGTAGGGTTGAAGGTTCATTGACTTTCCCTAGGCTACTTTAACATGTCCATTGTTGTTGTCCTTATTCAACTCATGTTCAGGGCTTCGGGATGTTAGATCTCAGCCACATTCCTTTCAAAAGCTCTTTGCCTTCAGATCAAATTTGCTTGTAGACTTGTCAAACAAATAAACAAAAAAAGATACTTAGTTTTCATTATGAACCCTGAAATGTGTCATAATTTACTGATTTTGTGATTTTCTTCTTCCTCTATCTCTTATTGATACACAAGAAATAGTTATGTTTGCTCACAAGTGAAGAACAAATGGAAAGGATGAACTTGAACTCAGTTTGGAAATAAGTTAAATAAATTACTAAGAAGTTGGGGATGGAATATAAATAAATGAATAAATAATTTATCCACTTGCCTTAGAAAACTATTTATTGGTACTACAAAATAGTGGTGTAGCAACTAGTAAAATCACCATTTAATTTAGAGAGGCACAGTTATCAGAAATAGGCTAGGGCAATTTCCTACAGTATTTATCCTCAGCTGAATAAGAAATTGAAGCAAACTGTACATTTTTTGTTTTTTTCAAATCAGTATAGGCAGGTTGAGTTTTGCCAGAGCATGAGGGTATTTATCACATTAGGTCAAAAGAACTACTTTTAAAGCCACATAAAGGTAAATGTGTTGTAAAGTTTAGAGGAATGAGTCAATGTATACATCAGTGACAATTCAGTAATTAGCAGGTGCTCACATACCTCTGCATGGTATTAAACAGATGCTTCTTCTCTTGTTAAGTAATAAGATGGTCCAGGTTCCAGACACACACCTTTTATCCTTGCACTTAGGAGACAAAGGCAGGCAGATCTTTGTGAGTTCAAGGCTAGCCTGGTCTACAGAGTGAGTTCCAGGACAGGCTCCAAGAGAAGTGCTGTCTGGAAAAAAAAGAGTTCTTACCCTACTGATTTTTTTTTTTTTTTTTTTTTTTTTTTTTTATATACATGTGGATTTAAAGTGGCCATTTTCCAGAACCATCAGTAAGGCCATATTTTATTTCCCTGCAGTGAATAAAATATTTAGGAATTTTGTTTCTAAAACATGTTTTAATATAATCAAGTAGTTCCAGATGAACATAGTTTGCAAAGTTTGTTGCATAGACTTGGTGACCTGAGTTAGAGCCTGGAAGCTATGTAAAGGTAGATAGAGATTCCCAAAGTTGTCTCTGACCTCCACACATGTAGCATGACAGAATACACTCCTATCTACTTATACAATAGTAATAAATAAATAAATAATGTAAAGCACTTTAATAGCAAATACAGCAGCAGTACTGGGGGAAAGTGTTTAAAACTGTAAGAAAAACTGTAAAGTGGAATGACTATCTTATATAACAAGAGTCAAGTACTTTGGTTGACTTTGTTAAACCAAAGCTAGCTGGATTTTACCACCAGCATCAGGACATTTCCTATAGTGCTGTGAAAGCATACTTCAAAGAATGTTTGACTCAAGAAAAACCTGTTCACTGAATGAAAAACAGACATTTTTCTACTAGCATAAAAAATATCTTGTGAACTATATTTAAAATTTGGCGTTTCATTTGTTTTACATTTTTGAGTTGAATTGTTGTCCAGGCTAACCTTGAATTTAAAATCCTGTCTTAGTCTCCTACATACTGGGGTTATGGGTGTGTCCAACAGGCCTGGCTTAAAATGGATAAATAGCATCAATTTTAAATGTCATATGTAAATCCCATTTATGTAACCCAACTATTAAATGAATATCTAACACAGGTTTGCTGCATGGCCTGCCATTGCAATGCTGTTCATTATTACTCTACAAAGCGGGTGGATTGCCAGATCTTTCCATTAACACACCTAAGACCATATATAATGTGCTTCCCATTACATTTGTGAAATGTGCTTTTCTCATATTTCTGACTGTTGTCCTGCAGAGTTTATTGAGTAGGTGGTGCATGCATGTAGGATGTTCATCTTATTCCTTTTTTATCCTACAGTACAACAGCAGACATGGCCTCCCCCTCATTCTCTGAATTCTGACTTGGCTAGTGGTGACTAATGTCAATCTCTTTGCTGGCACCTTGCATTGTTCACATCTTATTCAGGCATTAGCTAAAAGACTAACAGTTTTCATATCATGCCTATTTCTTCTAGGCAATTTCTGACCTGAACTCTCATCCAGGCAGGGACCTAAGCTTTTACAACCGCCTGTAAAACAGAATGGAATAATTAGGCTTGTGACAAAATGGAAACTTCTTGGAAGTATCCTTTGAAAATGTAGGGCTGTGTAGAACAAGAGAGTATCCTCTCTGCAGGCATGTTCTACATTGGTGGATTATAATGGCAGTTATCTTTGGGCTCTTCTTGTTCCTGTGACACATTTACACCTCTGTGAAGTATCTGCCTCCTATTTAACACACACACACACACACACACACACACACACACACACACAAAAAAAAAAAAGAAACAAAACCAGGCAAATTATAAACAGCTGTGGTTATGTCTGACTTTATGCCATCTATGATGGCTCCTTTTCCTTTCCTTGTGTTTTGATGTGCTTTCATCAGTTTTTATGACAAGCTATATAAAGCTGCACTGTGTGACACCCCAGCCAAACTATCCAGAGGACACGTAAACAAACTAAGCCCCACAGAATGTCTTCAAGGAGAACAAGTTACTAACCTTCACTTTTTCTCATTTTACCTCTTCTGAGGCAGTGGAGAAGAGAGGGGTAGGAAAGGACCTCATATTTTTCTGTAGATAGTTATTCAATGGGTGATAAAATACAGGGGAAAATAGACTTGTTATGGCTAAATATTTTTGTTATATTTCTTTATTTTGTGGGGTTTGTGGATAGTGGTGGGGGTTGAGGGGGCAATTGTGGGCCACAGCTCCTATGTAGCCAGAAGGCATCCTATGGAAGGAACCTGAGGTTATTTCCATCCACAATGGGAGTTCTGGGGATTGAATCCAGGTCTGTAGGTTTTGCAACAATCACTGCTACTCACTGAGCCATCTCACTGGACCTTTGTTATGGCTTTGCATTTGTTTTTTTCTTGGTAGTCATGCTAAACTTTCTGATTATCAAGCACTTTCCTTTGCCCTCTAGTTTTAATTGATTTATAGAATCAATGATGATGATGATATTAATGGGAGACCGCCACCGGTGGGTTCATAAAGCAAGTTATTACTTATAACCAGACCAACATACTGAGAAGCCCATCCATACATCTTGTGCTAGCAATGTGCAAGTTTCAAAGTATTCACCCCAATCAGAAATGTCAGTTGTGTTTCCACAATAAAAGATTTGAGAACCGTCTACTAATTGTTTCACTGTGCCTTCTGGCTTTATTTTTAAGATAAAATAATTTTAGAAGATTATTTCCGCAGTGGGTATACTTTTTAAAAAGTATAAATTCTTTATATTAAACACAAGATTTACTTTTTAAAA